CACCGATAGGTGCAGTGGGCCGCTGCAGAGGCCCTGAGCCACTGGGAATAATGTCACGTTCCAGACCAGTAGCATCTCCGAAACGGCTGCGGTCAGCAACGTGGCCAGACTGAAGGCCACAGCTGCAGCGGCCAGAGAAGCCAGGGCTGGGCGGGCCGCGAGTGGGCCTGGCCAACCATCCAAGGACAAGTCGAGTCTTAACGTGTGTTGAAGCAGAATTGCTGGCTGCGTCTCTCAGTTCTCTCTGCTGAACATCGCAGTCGCGCAGGGTACATCGTTGCTGTTGCCCAGCTACAACTTTCAGCCTGAGGTCGGGTCAGGTCGCTCTCCTATTCACCTGGCTACTATGTCTGTGTAATTTCGGCCGGAAAGGCATGTGCCGTCGGGCGCTGTGCTGCCATACTTCGCAGCAACGACCGCTGCCGCCGCGATGGTGGTCAGGCTGCGGCCGAGCAGCAGGATGCGTTGCAGCCGCAGCTGCCTTCGTAGCAATGCCTGCCTCAAGCCGCAAGGAGGCATGGGCAACATTGTCGGCTTCTCCATGTGTGCTCGTTCGACGAACTGTGCAGCCAAGGTGCTCGAAGCAACCCCAGGGGATTGTGACGGCGCTGAGCAGCAGCTCCAGCATGTCCTGGGGTCGCTTCAGATTTTCCCAGGCCTTTCGGAGGACCAGCTTGTGGATCGCCGCCGACACCGCGATGTCCACCAGAATCCAAGCTGGCAACCAGGGCTGCTGGATGCCGCGCCTGAGGTGGAGGCTGACTGACAATTTACAAGCTCATCGCAGTTTCGTCCTTAAGAAGTGCCCCAATCGAAACAGGGGTCCTGGAGGCATCTACTGGGCGGAGGGCCATGCCCAGGAGGGCCCAGCCACAGATGCGTCCGCCAACGTCGGCGCAGCGCCAGGCCAGCAAGCCGGCTTCTGGCAAAGCGCCAGGCTCCTTACACTTTATTTTGCGGGATGGAAGCACAACCTTGCACAGCGATGACAACACGAGGATTGGTGAGGCAATAGCTTCGATGCACAAGTCGACCTCTAGACCTCACGCCTGTTCCGGAGGTTCATCCAAGGCTCGATGGTCGGTGCGCAAAGCCGCCGGTAACCCTTGTTCGCGGCATCGGCCATGGATCCTAAGGATAGGCCTAGCGACAGGACAAGGAGAAATACGCTGCCTTCCTGCGGCGCACCTGCAACTGCGAGTGCATACGCCTGCAGGAGGGAGCTCGGCACACTTTCGCTCAATTGCGCTAGAACCTTGTCCCTCACCAGCACCACGGTTTCGGACCCCAACTGGAAGGACTCGTACGCGACAAGAAGGGGCTTTATCTGTAGCACATGCAAGACGAATTCCTTAAACCCAGGCTTCCGCTCCCCTTGCTCGTTCAGACCAGCGGCCCAAAAATCTCCGTGACTTGCCCGCTCCCAACTCGCCCGGTGCAATGCGAACCCCACGACCCCAGAACCGAGCGTGATGGCTATCAGCACGCTTCCGAAAGCTATCTGACCACTTCTGAAGTATGCCGTGGTGACGTAGACGTCCGACACCATGTCAGCGACGGAAAGCGCTAGAGAAGTGGCGATATGAAATTGCGCTTGCAGCCTTTCCCGACTCTCCTCTTCATCTGCACCCAGTAAATATTCGTAGCCTAGATCTGCAATGTGCTTCATGCTCATGTGCACGTACAATGCGTATGCGCTGGTGGCGACCAGCACAGCGAGGCCGGCAGCGCCGACCCAAGGCTTCTCCAGGAATACCCACCTGCACCGAGGGTGGGTTTGGGCGACAACTGCACACCGCAGTGTTTGGGGGTGTCGCCAATTTGCATACGGGCCGAAGGCACTCCAGATACTTAAAGCGTCGCAATTTCGACGTCTTGGGGTCCGAACCGGCGATACGGAGGAAGGCCCCGCAGTGTAGCTGCACAGTCGTTTCGGAGGGCAGGTCCCGCAACTTTTTAGTTCAGGGCTTCCCGTGGGATCCATTGCTCCGAGGCCCTGCCTGATCTTGTCGGAGGCGCTAGCAGCTGCAGAGGAGACCCAGGAGACCAGTGCACCCAGGTGATGCTCCACTTCCTTGCAAGCTGTATATTTGTGCGGGGGGAATCTGCACAGAGGGCCTCTCCGTCCGTTCAAGATTGCAATCAACAAACACTATCGCGTAGGAGAACGAAACTCTGAGCCAGGTGTCGGCGTAGAGGCATGGCCTCAACTGCTCAGTGGTGTCTTTGACGGTCGTGTCCCACGTACCTGGGTGCGCAGCCAGAGCAACACAACGGCCGGCGACAGGTGGCAGCAGCAGCATCACTCATGCAGCTCTATCCCGGGATCTGGTATTGAATCTTGAAGTCCACCACGTCCTGAATCTGAAGCGGACCTGAGCCTGCCAAAGCTGTGCCTCCCCGAAAGCCTTCCCGCGAGCTCCACAGGTCGCCTCTGCGAAGCTTTCATGCCGGAACACCCCAAACAATCAACAATCTCGTGCACCAACTCCAAACCGACGGCCGTTCAAGCGCTTTCCAAGCTGGATTTCAGCGTCAAGGCACCGAAATGCTACAGGTGAGACCGGTCTTCTCGTCAAGCCAAGGCACTTCTGAGAGACTCCAGGAAGGCTCCGGAGCCTCCGTGGAGGAGACGCCGTGGTCGTGGTCCGGGCTGCGGCTCTGAGAACCTCAATCGCGCCAAAAGGTCTTCGCACAAAATAATCCTTTGCTCCTAATGGTTTATACGTGGAGGGCCCCGCCCCTTCCCCAATACGAGTAGAAAGTCGAAAAGTGTTTTGATTACTAGGCCGTCATCTGTTTGGGGTGATCTTGCTCAAAGGCTCTTGCTATGCTCTTGCTCTTGCTCTTGCTCCTGCCCTGCTTTGCTCTTGCCCCGAAACCCCCTAATCCAAATCAGGTTCTTTGAAAGGCGGGGATCATTTCAGGGAGATGTTCGCGAAGTGGTTGTGCTATTGAGGGTGTTTCATACAAGGGCGAAGTGAAGGAGGGGACTCTTCGGGAGCCGAGGCTCTGCTGAAGGGTTCCTCACCGGACATCAACAGATCCCGAACACCGCAGAGGGTTCTGGGGCCATGTGGGGCTTTTGCTATCAGTGCCAGAGCCCCCGCAAAAGGAAGGGCCCAAAGAGCAGAAGCGCGAAGTCAATCCACGGATTTCGGCCCAGGGGCCATGCACTGTGAAACAAAATCGCGAGCGGCACAAAGAGGCCAAAGGCGCGGGAGATGGCCATCAGTCCTCTCAAATAGGGCCTAGGGTCTTTTATAGGGTTTAGGGTTTAGGGTGTATAGGGTTTAGGGCAGGCGAGGGCACAGGAAGTCGTGGCGCTGCTTTGGGCTTTCGGGCTTGAGGCTGTCAAGACACCCGGGGCCTGGCATTGCAGGAGCGCGGACGGGCACACAGGATCTCCACAGAGGTCAATCACATGCAAAAAATTATCTTAATTAGTTTCCGCTCTAGCTTCCAGTCTTACTGCCATGTACACTGAATCTACAAGGGCAGGGTTTTCACGCAGGATTTATGATTACCTTTGCTCTGTGGTGTGAGAGTCTTTGGATCACGTGCTGTGATACTGTCACGTCGCCCAGCTGCTGCTTGCTTTGGATTTGCCTTGCATCTCTTGCCCTGCCTGTTTGACGAATGTTGCTCCCGCACTGCGCTGGCGGCCAATGGCTGCAGTGGGCCATAACCGCGTTGCCTGCCACGACAAGACGATTCACTTCGAAAGGCGGCCCATGGCTGCGACTTGCCAGGCAACAGTTGACAGGCACAACAGTGCTGGATGCAGCAGGAACATGCAAAGGTGGAGGAGCAGTCGCAATACTGTCATGGTTGTCGGTGAAGCAAAGAGGCATGCAAGAGGACATCACAGCCCCCATCATCAACATCGACGGCTCAGCGTCCTCAAGTGATGCCGGCGCAACTTTCCGAGTCACTCTGCAAAACCCTGCATGGGCGACTGGGCCGCGCAGATACCAAAGATAGCCGCTAGTAGCCTGCAACCAAACTTTTGTTGCAGTTTTCCTCGCGACCGCCACAAGCACCTTCAGGGCTAAGGTCGTCCTTCCGTTTGGGAAGTTCGCACTGTCGGAGTTGCCGGACATCACGGGCCTGCATACGTCGTAGCTGGTTTCTATCATTCTAGGCACCGAAGTTGGTGTGGGTCGAGCTGAGGGCTCCGGCAACTGTGAGAGTGCGGATCTGTCCGAAGATCTACCAAACACCGGGCGCAGCGCACAAAGACTCTGAAACCCTCGTGAGTCGCGCATGCTGCCCAAAAGTCTCTAAAATCCTACCGTGGCAGCGCAGATTCCTCTCATGCCTCAGAGCGAAAAGCTCCAAGGACCGCGGGATGGAGCAGATCCCAATTTCTGACGAGTTCAGATGCGAAACACAAGACTTGGGGCAGCACGTCGTCACGTCTCTTTGTTGGCACCAGGGAGCAGGCAACCTGGCTTCAGGCAAACTACGCCTCAATCAAAAGCATAAGCCCTAAACCCTGAACCTCAGGGAACCTTCGAGAACCCTCAATAATTCCAAAGCTCAAGGCTTCGGCTTCGGTTCGGCGTAAAAAGGGAATCAGGAGGCCAGAAGCTCTAGCCTCTGGGTCTTCTCCCTAAATACTCAGATTCCTCAAACCCTACAGCCCCCCGAAGTCCTTACATTCCCTTACGATCTAAACTCAAGAAGAAGCACCACATGGCAGACTGGTACCGGTTTCGGTCTTGAGGAATGTACCACCAAGGTCACTGCAAGGTTTTTGGGTTTCAGGTTTAGGTCAAGGCGTTGAGTGTGCAGGGCCTTGGGTTCAGGTTTCCAGTGTTGGCTTCGGGTGCTGGCGTGCCTGAAATAATGCATTGTACACGCATGTACACGCCAGACTAACTCCGAGTATCATCATTTCAACGACATGAACAAGCACTGCAGTTACTACAAGCAACCAACTTGGGACTGGCCGCGGTAGTAAGTGTAATTACTAGTAAATGACTTCATACATGAATTCAGATCCAGAGAGGAGGTGCTTTTTCGAACCTGTAGCATTCGTACATTGAACCTGGGTTGGCATAGCCACGCTCGCGGCAAGCGAAGTCGTCCACTACCTTAAAGCCGACTTGGCCCATGCGATCCAAGAACGCGATCTGCGTCTGCGAGAACTCAATCGAGATCCAGAATACCTCCAAGTTGTTGGGTTCAGTTTACCTCATGCCATTTTCGGACTGCTGCAAAGTACGATCAAGGCTCAGCTACGGGCTCGTGATCCCTAGCATCTCTGCTCTTTCCTTCAGGGTTCGCTTCTTGGAGCACCTTCGGGTTAAGAGGGCCCAGGGCCTAGGATTGCTTCGGGATTTCAAATTTCAGGCCCTGGTGCCATGAGCACCGTGCAGAGCTGCCGGGAGCAGAGCGTCTGCAGAGCACGTAGCAGAGGGACGCTGAGGGCACCCTCGTAGAGCTGCCCGGAAATCAGCACCGTGTCCACCGGTGTCTTGTCAGCGACCGTCGCCAAAGAGGCCGCGTCCCGGAAGTCCACGACGTCCGCCCGAAAGCACGAGAAAAAAGGCTCCGGCAGGTTCG